ACAACGACAACGACAACGACAACGAAGATCTGTACCAACCTCGCGTCAGCTTAAGAAGATCAGTTTATAAGATCACATAAATAAATATATAAACTAGCGTCTGTAACGATGCAGTGAGGAGAACAGTTAAAGGACTTTCAGAAAATGGTCTGAAATCTCCATATTTAACAATCTTCTAATGTCTTCTAATAATTTGATTTGAGCAACGCCCGTCAGAAAACTCATTGTAACTTCTCATATTTATTGTATTTTATCCTGTTTTCTTCCAAAGCTCCTAGATAAGGCTTTGGTATAATATTCACAGAATGAGGTTTCAAGATTTCTCTACATCCGTATAGAAATCTTTTCCGTCAAATTCGTACATATTTTGTTGAGGAAATGTACCGTTTGGCTTGAAGAAGTTTGATTTCTCATTTCAAAAGCACATTCCCATCCCACCAAGAGACAGCATCTTAGCCAGTATGTTTGCATTTCATCAAGAAATGTGCTCCTTAGAAGCTGGAAAACAGCCACGAATCAAGAAAATCATGGTGACGCCGATGATTTGAGGACAGCCTTGCAGTACATTTTTGTGAAAGGGAATTAATTTTACTAGTTTTGAAATGGAAACATCCACAGCTTTTGTGATTTTTGTACATCTTAACAGTAATCTGCTGCTGGTCCTGATTGGATTACGATAAAGTTGATCAAAGCAAGCAAATATTGTGTTTTCGTCACTTTTTCTCTGAACAGAAACGATGGCACTGTTGTGTCTTCTAGTGTTCTAAAAAAGGAATTAAAAAAGATAACATGCTTCACTGTGATCTACGGGCTAAAGTTGACGTAAGGGAAAAGTAGAAATAAAGACTTCAGTCCAGAAATATGGATTTCACCGTGCAACAGCAATTTCGCAGAATCTGTTTAGAATGTGAGAAGAGTAATTAACATGAACAAGGCTCTGAAACTCTGTAGTATAATAGTTTTAGTGCTATATTAACAATAATTCAAAATCATCGAAGCCAATAAACGTCCGTCCGTGCTTTTGTACTTTCTTTTGTATTCTAATGAACCACTCACACGAAGTCCAATTAACATCGCTGACCAACTCTGTCACGCTGTGTCATCTAACTGCGTTATTTCTTATATTTTTTAGAGAACTTAAGAATATCATCAATTCTATCTAAGTATTAGACCGTTCGGAAATTCATGCGATATCTTAAATTTTACTTTCAGAGTAGTATATCTCAGCCCAGAATAACTTCATTGATCGAAACAAAGACCATCAGAATATAATCATTTTTTGCTAACAGAATAAAGGATTGATTAGACATTCGGCATTGACCAATCCCTGTCGGCTGCGCCATGCATTCAACTTTGTCAGATGTCGCTAGAGGCGAATGAAAACATATCTGCCTCGTACAAAATAACCTGTTGTGGCTTACCGCTACATCATTTTGGTGTTGCTACTCTCCTAGGCAAGCCTTATAGCAATTTATCGACCTTGGAGGAGTTGAAGGCTTGGTGAACTCGGGATGCAGGATCGAAAAAATGACAACGTATGTATGTATCGTATGGACCTGTGAATATTACGTTAGACACACGCTTGCCAAAAGCGAACAAGTTTATTTGTTCTAATTGCAAAGAACTCTATAGCACTGTAGGTGATGTAATCACTGAAGGAAGTTTCAGTACTTATTTAGGTTCTGAAACATTTCTCATGCAGGAAGTTGTCAGATGCTTCAAAAAGCTGGTACTCCGTGAGAGAAAGGCTGATGAATATGTTAGATGAGGCAGAGCTTCGTAGCATTGAGTTTTTTCGACTAATCAAATCTCTTTAAATGGTCCCAAACAGTAACTCCCACGACCGACTTTCTATTAACCTCGGCACTGATCAAGTAATTCTTCGTATTTTTGTTGAACAAACGCAGTGTTATTATTCTTTATTCACGAAGAAGCTGACGTTTCAGCGGATTTCGCCTTCCTCAGAGCCGCTTTCTATGAGGTTTCCCCTAAGTATGGTACGTAGAGACCGACCGCACAGAAATCACATGGAAGCATAATGTGCACACGCTTTCTCGGCCCGATACCTCATTAGTGATTCGAGACGTTCACATTTCACTAAGTCCGTGTTCTAACCTCTAAGTGATATTTAGTAGCGTAGCATTCGCAGAAAAAATTGTTGCAAAAATATGTGCAAGATATATAAAATTAAAAATTCCACATTAATTTCAAAAAAACCAGATATATTTCTACTTGCGTTTCATTTCACGCTCGACGCAACAGCTCCGCGATAGGATATTGATTGATCGCGCTTTTATTCGTTACATCGTCAATTTGTGCATGTTTAGAGTCCGAAATCTCAGTTCTGACAACGTTCTATGACCTTTGTTTATTGTCAGCGTGTTTGTGTGCTTTATGTGTGTTTTCAATGTAGGGGAAGACAGGATTCGGAATGCCGAGAAACACGCAAACTGCTGTCGAATTTGCCGACAACGGAAAACGTTGGTCGATCGAGCAACTTCGCGCCAGCGACGCCATCGTCCGACTGCAGTCCGGCACCAATCAATTCGAAAGTCAAAAGGTTTCTGCTAACACTATAACTATGTTGTAGTAATGTTACAATTGTGTAATACTACGTGGAATTCACGTTATATGTCCTAAATGTCTTTATTAGTGGACGTATAGCACAGTGGTAGTGATGTCCGTCATCAAGAGCATGGTGCTAGTTCGATTCCGCTCCGGGCTAACCAAGCCTCTCATCCCTCCGGGGTTGGGGAATTGGTACCGGACTCCTCTGGAAAAAAACGCTGTCTGCAATCCAATTGGGAACGCTCCAGCACGACTATCTCAGGTCTCCACGGAGAATCGACTCGACCAGGATTCTACGGCATTCGAGATGAAACGAAAATCCTCAAGTAGCAGCCGAAGCCACACGTAAAAGTTGCAAGACGCTCGTGGACAATGGATGCAAGGAAACGAATCGAATGTTGAAAGTGCTGGGATCACCACAGTAGACGTGGAGACGGGTCACAAAAAATAAAAAACAATGTCTTCCTTTAAAACATTAGATAGTCCTCTTAAAACTTCTAATTCAAGTTCAATAACTGCTCAATCTTTCTATGGGAGGAAGGTTTCAGTTTGAACTTTGGAATCTAAAAATTGCCAATTCTACGGTAGATAGTAATCTAGTAGTAAGCGAGGTCCTGTGATTACACGCGGATGTACCATCTTTGTGGAAACAAGCAATACACATAGAAATCCCAGCTTTCCTTTATTAACTGATTTCACAAAAGCTTCTTGTTTTATTTTATTTAATGAATTTTCTTCTCTTTGGTCATACCAAAAGCTGTAGATTTTTTCCTGTTTTTTGTAACAACGCTACTCGACCGCTTTTTCTACAGTGATGTTTACCGAAACGTGAGCGCCGCATTTCCGTTGAGCACACAATCCGTCGACAATCGTGAAGCGGATCGACAAAATCTCCTCGATGGTCTGTCTTATTCCAGATGATCGTCAGATAGCGATAGGTCATCCGGCTAAGGGGTTATGTTGGTAATGAGAACGTTTGAGAATAACTTGTGCTGATTTCCTCACGCTCTAAAATAGGCAGTCGCTTACTAACGAACACACGACCCACGATGTATTGGGTGCAATGCATGCGTGGAAGATAGTGGAGAGGAATGGAGTGCGGGTACAAACTGGCCGATGTGCATTGCTTTCACTGCATTCGCCTCTCTGTTTCTCAACAACAGCCACTGAAAAAGGCGTAAGCTGTCTCACAAAAGCTGCAAATGCTAGAGGATTTTAATTACGTTTGAATAACATTGCTCGACACAAACTGATTGATCGTCATAGGTGAATTGTTATAAAACGAAACAGTCACAGCTGAAGTACAACATTATTTAATGTAATCAACTAATTGCCATGCCTGAAAGTTATTGATAAGTGTTCAGACTGCTTATGAAAACAAATGTAGCAAGATTATTGATCGGAAAGGTTTTCAGTTTATTACAGTATGCTTTCTTATTATCTTCGGTTCTAGGGTATGACTGGATTTGGGATGCCACGTGACGTGAAAGGAAAACATCTGAAACGAATCTGGGAACTCGAATTCCCTGACGAGGCAATCGCTGATCGGCCGGCCACCGAAAATAATCAGTGAACAATCTATATATCCTATAGCTTTCATATTACCCAAGTTAATGCCATCCTTCCAGGCGGTCAGTTGGCCGCCTTGGCTTGGTGTTTTCTGCTTTGCCATATTTGTTTCCAGTGAGTCTTCATATATTTCGAGTGATTTTTTTTGACGTACTCAATACACATTAAATAACGACTTCTGATCAACGTAAACAAGTGACATAGTTGCATTCACTTATTACCAGTGGTGTTCTGGTAGGAATCAATATAGTTAGCCGCTCAATACAATTTGGTGTCTCTGCAACTTCGGTGTTACGAGTAACGATTAAATTGTTTTATTGCACTTTGTTAAAACAGCGCTAAGATACTGTCGGCAGAAGAATTACAACGAATTGCTCTTGATTTAAGGATGCCCTTGGCCAATTATTTCCGATGATCAGCTGTAACATATTGAAGCTCGAACCTCTGAGAACCTTTGCTTCATGATCCAGTTCAACTTAACTATGAAGAGAAACCTCGGTAAAGGATTCTTTCAATGGAAAGAAAGCATGATAAATGGGTTAAAATGCCACCTGAGTGATTTGCCAGAACAGAATGCGCCCTCGATTCCAGAAGACAATTTCCTCAACCTAAAGATCTATAACGCTCACAGTTTAACAGAAAAGTATCCTCAGGTTTTGTGATGTTAACATATTGATTGCCTGAGTGTACGGTGAAGAAGAGCGAGAACGAAGATGATTTGATATCTACGTACTACGCGTGTGTAAGCCACAAAGATAAAATAGAGTGCTGATTCATTTTCTGCTCACAATGCTGACTGGTCAATTTGTAAAACCAGATTTCTATCAAAATTAGAGTAAGAAACTTCAAAATTTTGTAGACATCACGAGAGAACTGTGTCTGAAAGTCTCCACTAGTGTGGACGAGTTTCTCAGTAGTGCAAGGTCGTATGAAAAGTCAAATTACAAAGCACGCGTAAATGACATTGTTAACACATCGACCCAGGGGTTATTCCGTGAAGGATAGAGGTCTGTTCGGAGATACTATAAAAGTCAGCCTTATCTTAGGAGACGTCCACATGAAAGCTACTTTCGAAATCATGTCTGTGCCATCGTTAATCTTCGAAAGGAACAAAGTGACAGTAACGTGCCAGCATCGCTTGTCGTAGTTAGTGGATACTGTTCAGTCCAAGGCCATGAGGAGCGTCATGTTCCTCATTTCGAGGTGTCGTCAAAAACCAGAGTAAAGGCGTGCTAGTCTTCATAGATTTTCCCTCTTTGCTTAACGCCATATATATGCTTGCTCGAAAATCAATGTCTGATTTGTAACTTAATTTTTCCTGTACAGTTTTAGCAAGAGTTTTATTCTTCGTACGCTCTACTGATGCTTTTTTTATTTTACCCGACCGTCTTTCACATATACTCTGTCTACTCCGCGGATCCCAGCACTTCCTCCATTCGATTTGTTTCTTCTCGCCCATTATCCACGAAAGTTTTCCAACTTTCGTATGTGTGGACTCGCCTGCTGCTTAAGGGTTTTTCCTTTCGTTATAAATTCCGTCGAATGCTGATTGAATAGATTCTTGCTGGAGTCCTGAGATAACTCAGCTAGAGCTCTCCTACCTGGATTGCAGGAATTGAATTTTTCCCAGACAAATGTGAAACTTAGCAAGCCCAGGGTGAGGTCGAACTAGCACCATGCTGGTGAGGTTCGGCATCAGTTTGTAGAATCTTTAAGCGTTGGAATATCAGATGTCAGAACATTAATTTCGACAAAATTCGCGCCACCTACACTGTGGATTTTGAGCGAGTTGGGTCAAGTAGTATTCCCGAAAAGCCTTCGTAACAATCAATTGTGTTTGGAAGCGGACCACTCAGATGAATTTCTGGCGAAGTTTTGCTTGCTGTTTGGGTTAAGCCTTATTCAGGCTCTTCGATATACACGTAGGAATGGCCTTGTTTATGAAGCGCTCCTAACACTTCGACACTGACCTCTAAATACGGGTGCTTGGCACATCTCTCGGAGTCATAAATTTTCGATACAATTGCTCGACGTTGATATCAACCCACGCCGATGGAATCTCCTCCACGTTTGAGTGGAAGTTCACTCAAGCTGGTCTCTGGGTGCTAGTAAGCTAATTGATAAATGTATAAATGTCATCTTCTTGCGCTTTTTGTTTGTATAATCGGAAGATGTACGAAATTCTCGATGGGTTGAGTATTCGTTCGATTTACAAGCACGTCATGTCTTATATAGGTAAAGAGGGTAGATTGTGGTTGCTAGGTTTCAAGTATCTAACTGCTACTATTACGGAACGTAATAGTAGGTCTCCTAAAGGGATTGTGAATTGGAAGAGAGTTTTATAAAACTTTTGTCGTTGAACCACTCACCCCGAAAAAATTCTGACTCCGTCTTCTTCATGCAGACCAGAATGCGGGTGTTGCGCTTTCGCAAAACCTCATATTTCTTTATGCTTTTGCTTTTTTATGCTGCTTCCAAAATTCTCTCGTATTGGCGGCAATGTTGGTCTCATGCTTTTTGTAAATGGTGCTTTTGATAGCTTCTTTGATGCATTTCATGTCACAGACCGTAAAAATCTTCTTTTGTAGAAGCTCTTCAGTCCTGCTTGATAAACTTGCAGAAGTTGCCAGCGGCTCAGGAACAGCTTGCTAAGAGTAGGCTCGGCGACCTTTCAGCGGCACCTCATAGACTGATATCAAACAACTTTCACCTTGAAACCAGCCGAAGTTAGATGAAAATATTTCCAGAAAGGACTCGCTGTATATAGATTGTGCTCTTTTCCTCCCATAATATTGGATTTCTTTACCACTTCGTTGCTATCTCTTCAACAGTAGGAACAGGCTTAAGATTTAGCATTCTTACACAAGAAGAGATAGACAAACGTTTTGAGTTGCTGAATGAACAGTTGTCAGGTACACAAATTTCAGCCCAGAGAAATCGAATAAAGACTGTCTCCATTCTTGAATGTTCTAGTCAGTCTGTCCAAAAACGGCAACCAGTTGTATATAAAAAGCCTATTAATAAATATGTATTGGCTCATTAATACTCCTTTCACACCTCACATACAAAAGGAGCACCTGTGAGAAACATGTTTCGAACGGCCAGGAGCGTCTCCACAGGAAGAGAACACAATGGAGGAATCCCGGACATTGGAGCGGCAAATATCCACTCCCGATGGCTACGAAACTGTAGCTCCTTGGGATAATGGCGCCAAACAATTTGCCTAGCGAGAATAAGGTCACGTTTTTCCTGCCCTTCATTTCCGACGAAATACGTGCAGCTATAAAATGTTGCTTAAGAAGGGCTGGTCGAGAGAAATTGGGGGCTGTCACCGAAATACTACCGGGCACTCTATGACGACAATTAGTTCGTAGCCGCCTGTACGAGAGTCCATGTACAATTCATACATAATATGTCAAAAAAGTAGAGATGGTGATCGTTTGAGTTCGGATACGGTTTATCCAATCTCTTGTAAAGCGTGCTAGGCCGAATACATTGGCGAAATGGCGAGGAGGTTACACAACTCTCCGTGCGTATTAAAAACGCCCAGTCGGTAAACTTGAAGTTAAACCAGATACTCCACTAGGCGCGCACAGGACACAGAGAGATAACGGAGAAGATTTTTAAGTAGGTATTACTATCCTCGCACAGGATTCGAAAGCACTAGCGCGCAAAACTCCCGAAGCATTATGGATAAATTTCACAAATTCAAAGTTGAACCGCGATGGGAATGCCTGACTATCATGCGAGATCAGCATCTGAAACTGGCATTTGACGTGAGAGTGGCTTATTGCCGTTCTTTGCACGACTGGTCTCCATGTAGAATACTTCGTTGGAGCACTCACAGGGAGCGGTGAGCGTCCGATGAAACTGATTTCTGTCTAGTGCGATTGAAAATTAGGTATCATGGTGATTTTGTCGAGATTATGAAGGTGTTTGGCTTACTAGGTTATGGTTTATTGGACGTTTCCATGCTTTGAAGAAGGTGAAATCCGATGAAACGTCAATCAGTTAAGAGTAAGGTAACAACATCATGATTGCTCATCAAGAAAAAGTGAGCTTTTGGTTTCAGTATCAAGCAGAACAGGAAACGTCAACAAATACTATAATATCAAGTAGGAAGTAATAAATAATAGAACCACAACGTTGCTGAGATATTTGCAAAACTCTGGACCGCAGGTGTCTATGGTGGGGAACGAACGCGCTATTATCCTTTCCGGGGAGTAACGCATTCACCACCACGCTCCCCATAAATGAAAATTATAGAAGGCAGAAAACAAAACGTTAACCATTGTAATAAATAATGTTGGCGAGTATATGTAATCACAACCTGGTCTGTGCTTATGTGGAAAACGACGTAAATAAACGTTTGGAGGGAAGAAAGCAAGCACAGCGTTCAACATTACATCCGTTCTGCCGACAGAAAACCATTTTTCTTCAATGCCTTCAAGTACACCTCTAACTATGTGACCACAACTATCGACACTGAATTCGTTGGCGAACTGGTAGCATTTCTTCGAGCTGCTGTCTAAACGTCGGCCGTAGAAAGGCTTAATTACTGTTGTAAATTCATGATATAGCACATGAACGGTCTAGAGACGTATCAATTGCCCAAGGCTCCCACAACCACTTCTTACTCAACTGAGCTAAACATTCGTTTTAAAGTGATAATTGTTAGACAAAGCAGTATCTCGAATGAACCATGTTGTTGTTACTTTATTCTTAACTGACTGACGTTTCGGCGGATTTCACCTTCTTCAAAGCATGGAAACGTCCAATAAACCGTTACCTAGTAAGCCAAACACCTTCATAATCTCGACAAAAACACCATCACACCTAATTTTCAATCGCACTAGACATAAATCAGTTTCATCGAACACTCACCGCTCCCTGTGAGTGCTCCAACGAAGTATTCTACATGGAGGCCAGTCGTGCAAAGAACGGCAATAAGCCACTCTCACGTCAAAATGCCAGTTTCAGATGCTGATCTCGCATGATAGTCAGGCATTCCCATCGCGGTTCAACTTTGAATTTGTTAAATTTAACCATAATGCTTCGGGAGTTTTGCGTGCTAGTGCTTTCGAATCCTGTGCGGGTATGGTAATATCTACTTGAAATCTACTGTTCGCTGGATTTTTCATCCCTCGTTGTTTTCGAAAGCTCAAAAGATGTTTTCCCTTTATGTTTACTTGCTGCCAAGAACGTTCCAAATATCCGTTCTACGAAGATCAAATATTTAGTACTCTCTAGTTAATTACGGATTACATTTGATTGGTTTAAGCAGAGTCGGTATCACCAGAAGTTGTGTAAATGCACGTCGTGTACTTAATTGTTTCTTAATGTTGTCGTTTCAATTTTTTCAGGTTGCTCTGTTCCTAAATATTCGAGATTTCGTACGACGTCAAGTCTTTGTTTCGAAAAATAACGGGTATGCAGACTGTATTTCAAGCTTATCCTGTTTCTTATACGTCTTATATCGGAAGATATAACATGTTCTTCTTCGTGGCATCGGCATAATGTGTTTGGTTTCAGATGACGGATACTGCGGTTAAATCAGTACTAAAGACAAACCGAAAACGGCTGAAGAAGAAGCCCAAAGTGCCTGTGAAAAAGGAGAATTGTGAGGAGGATGAGGTCATAGTCGATCCCGACGAACTAAAATGTTCGTAAGATTTCGATTCCTTCTTGTCATTTTAAAATCCAAACAGAAATGTTAACCTCTAATTTATTGTTTGCTACAATTTTTCACGGCAGGATATTATGTGAAATAGAACCGCAGTGATGCTGAGATATTTGAAAAACTCCGGACCGCAGGTGTCTACGGTGGGGATCGAACACGTTACTACCCTTACCGAGGTCTAACGCGTTCACCACTACGCATGCGGGTCTTCCGTTTTGCCTGTCTCTCAGCTAGTTTTCTATCTACGAGTGCCATCAGAAACTACCCTTCAACGGGATTGATCTAGGGAGCGGAAATCGGCATTGAACACAGTTAAGTTGAGGACGTAGTCAAACAGGAATATTAGAGAAAGGTCCGTTCTACTTGACATGGTTCCCAAGCTTCGTGATTCTCTTATCCATTAATGATAACGTTAGTGCGTTGGTCTCAAGCGGGTCAATTTGTTACGTTAATGTAACTGCGTTAACATCTTTCTAACACAAGTCTATAAGTAGAGTTTCTATTTTCGAGCAGTCTAGAGTAATACATCCAACCACCGCGTTTAATTAAATATTGTGTTTAAAACTTGTCAAGTAAGAAAATTTTGAGAATAGTGAAAATTATTGGTTGTTTGCCTCCGTATTTATTAGTGACCTTGCACTATGAATAATTGTAAACTTACTTGATACTTGATACTTGAGCGGCTCGTCCTCGCTAGTTATGCGGGCCCCAGCATAATCACCGTTTTTTGGAGATTTATTGATTAAGCCATTGCGGTTCCCTGGAATCCCGAGGACAGCCTGGCCAAAGTCTGCTCTAGAATTGTAAACTGTGTTGCTAAATCTTAACCGTTTTATTTCCTGCCTGCTATTTTTAATGGCAGGGTATATTACGAAATATAATCCAAAACTCCTGACCGCAGGTGTCTGCTGTGGGGAACGAACGCACTGTTGTCCATCCCGGGTAGTAACGCGTTCACCACCACGCCATGCGGGTCTTTCGTTTCGCCTGTCTCAGCTAGTTCTTTCGATTTCTACCATCAGCAGTCACCTGCGGTCCGGAGTTTTGCAAATATCTCAGCATCACTGAAGTTATATGTGTTGCTAAAATTACAAATGGAATGCAGTGTTTCAAATATACGTGGTTTTCTGGGTAGATTTCAATTTCGAACAAGATGGAATTTGATCCTCTTCCTATTTTTGACGGTGAATAATTGTGAATTGGAAGAGCACTTGTAGTTTAGCTGTGTGTCACGCTTTCCCAGAAGAAAATATATGGTTTTATTTTTGGACATGTTGCTGCCAAAAATAATAGCTGTGTGCTTGCTCAATGCATCAGATCTCCTGAGTTTTCAGATCTGCGTTATTCGATTGATGAACGCTATTCCGCACCACGCCAGCTCTTTCTGAAAGGAGACAAGTCCAATGAGTTCTCATTGATTGTTGCGAATGTTCCTGCCTACTTGCCTAAAGTACGTCTGTATTTGCAAAACCTAACTGAATTAGCTCTATTTTTTGTTTTCGTCGACGAATTTGAGGTACTCCATCTTTGTAATTATAGAAAATAACTTAGGACTTCGTGGAAGGTTTCATATCACAATTCGTCAGTGTTCCCATAAAGGACGTCGTAGTGAAAAGGAGCACTGCCTTAAATGGTTCAAAAACTAGTGTATGTTTTGGTGATTCAATGCTTGCTAAGGATATTTAACCGTGAAGGTTGGCTCAATATGATTTTTGAGGGCCAGCTAACATTATCGGTGCTCTTTAAAGAACCGCGTGGCGTTAGCTCAGCTCTTGCAAAATGTCAAAGTGTCGGTCCTTACAGAGTTTGTGATTTCTGCAAAGTAGAGATGCCATCAGTCCTGCAGAGTGAGTTAGCTTTTTTTGCTGAAAGTGCAAGATACGCTATATTATGTTATTATGCACCATTACTACTGTGCTGTGAAACATCCAGATTCGGTAGAGTCATACCGAAAATTGTTTCATTCACCGGAGGAAATTGAGAAGTCTGTTGCTGACTTCATAAAAAAACAAGATGAAGAAGTGCAAGAGGTAACCGTTACTTCAAATTCTTTTCCCAAGCTGTTTTTGACAACTTTGTTTTCAAGACAAAACGTCTTGCGAAACGAAAGTTCACTGAACCTGACGAAGATGGTTGGATAACGGTAACAAAAGCTGCGAAGAAGGTTTGTTTCTATCTCAAGACTTTTGCAGAATTGGTTCCAAAATGCTAAGAGCTCCTTGGAATCCCTTTGTATTGTCCCATCGTATGGGGTTAGGACGCGTGTGGCGCAGTGATCGGGGGCGCCCTGCAACACACACGAGAAATCGATTACTGCGTCCACGGCCCACCAAGCTTTCCATTCGTCAGGGGTCGGCGAATTGGTACCAGATGTGTACGGGAGGATAGCAGCACTGGCTCGATACATCGGTAGGCCACCGCGAGTCATTGTAAAGGCCAGATATGCATTCAGCCACTTCCAGCGATACTTAATGAAGTCGAATGCATGGCGCATCTCTTAAGGATTGGTCAACGCCGAGAGCTTTTAGCTTTTATGGGGTTTTGTGGACATATGCAGAGGTATATAAATCCTTGCCGAAACTATGCGTGGATCCATCATCGTGTCGGATTTCCGGACACTTATTGTCAACTTTTGTAGCTCCTGTTGAGCATATGTGGAGAAATATCGACTCAAAATGTGGAATCAGACTTCCCGTAATTCGCTTCTTGGATTTGGTGTTAATATTCTCATCGACATCTCATTTTATTGAGAGAGATACGAAGACGTTTGTATAACAGCAGCGAAGACGGCATTAGGCTTGTAGTGCCACGCTTTAGTTTAGTGAATGATTAAGATTTTTTCGCCCTTAATGTTGTTTTATACATATCTTAAATTTCTACGGCAAGTGACAATCACATAAGTTCAGGTTGGCAAGCCGTTAAAATTAAAGAAGAACGAGGTACCACTCATGGGTGGACTAAGGAAGAGAAAGAATCACGTGAGTTGACCTCACCCACTTGAGTCGTCCATTTTTTTTAGCATTGTTCCATTTCAGGTGGATTTGGCGTTTTACTCATTTGATAAGAAAAATGCGAGGGAGAAAAGTATGTTGTTTTGTATATGTCGTTTTAATTTTAAGTCACGGTTTTTAAAGATACATAGCAATTTTTTAATTGCAGAGCTCAATGAACTTCGAGAAAAATTCATGCAAGATAAGAGGAGGGTCGCCTTGTTGAAAAATGCTAGGAAGTTCAATCCGGGCTAAGCTTCGGATTATTGTTTAGCGCTCATTCGTGTTTCAGGATTTCTACAATTTCTGACATTTGCCATAGGTTATCTGTTTTTGTTTTATTTTAGCATGCCGGATGTCATAGAAGTTTTCATCATATTCATCTTTGAACTCATCGTTATGTTTATTTTGACTTGTACATTTGTTATGCTGTAAATGTCCATGTTTCACACTTGTTTCCTTCAAATGACTGGTTGTCTATCCGTTGTTATTCCTTGATTGTTATCTAAATTTGGGTAATGAAATCCAAATAATTTCTTGTGTATAACATTTTCTATTATCTACATCGTTTCAAAAGATCATTTGAAGTCTGACGTCATACAAGCCATATTTGTTAATCACTGAACTAGTGAGAGACCCTATGGGACAATCGGTGTCTATCTTCTCTTTAGTACAAGAAGTGATCTCTGTAGGTCTCTAGAGTGACCAATGCGATAGATCTGGAGTTCGGCTGCAACTTATGAAAACATCTTTCTAATTCAGTTCTCTATACTACTTTACGAAGCTTCTCAATTGAACTATGCTGGTAAAAGAATTGGTCGAACTATGATTGTCACGGTCGTTTTCAGAGGTTTCGGAAAAATCATGGCAACAACGAGTGCTCGAGGAGTATGAGGGGGATAAGGCGATGTCCATCTATGTTTTATCTGAGCTTTCTGACTTTCCTGAACAGTTTTTGGCACTCAGAATTCAGCGCTGTATGGGTGATCCCTGTCTCCGTGAATGTTTCTATAGTAGTTGAGCCCAGGCATATTCCTGACCCAGCTCAACTGGTGACGATCATTTTTGGTTTAAGAGCTAGACAAATACGCACATTTACGAATAATCCGGAAGGACGTTTTGTCGGTGAATCTCGGTGTTCCGTGTTCTTTCAATCGTCACTGACACTGCCGTTCTCTCGCAGTGGCGTTTCCGCGCTCCGAACGCGTTTTCCGCGCGGCAAGAATTATATGAATTTCTGCCTGGAGATGTTTGAGCGCAAACCTCGCTTGTAGCGATTGACTTTGGATTCTCGACTATTTGTGCTTTTCATGTCCATGACGCAGTTCATTTCTGCTGAGCAAAAAGGATTTGGTTGGCTTCTGTTGGTGAATAGACCTTAACTTAGTGTGATTTCGTGTTATCGGCTTCGGTATTGTGGGAAGAAGATGTGCACGAGTTATTCTTTTGTTGTTGTATTGAATAATTTTTAATAAAATCGCGTAAGGGTTGCCTGTTAATAATCCAAAAGCCGACGTTCTGTAGACCTCGGCATAAGTAATCGATATATTTGTTTATTTATATGTTGCTATGAACTGCCCTTGTTGAACTGATGCGAGGTTGGTATAAGTTGTCGTTCTCATTGTTGTTGTTGCTGTTGCTGGTCGATGGGTGACGTTTCAGCGACTTTGACTTCCTCAGAGCCGTGGAGCTGTGCAGTTACGAGTGGACTTACCTGTCAATCTAACTATACATCAACTTCTATCTGTATTTCTTTCTGTTGTTCCTTTTGAGATGACTATGTCGTGATAGCGTGTGTAGAGTTCTGTCTTCTAACGCAATAGCTAAATGTTCATTTTCTGGGTCTGCTATCTTTACGCTTTTAAGAGCTTCTTTTCAGTATGTTTCTAAGTTAAGCCTGCTAAGTTTTCTTAAATCAAGTCAACCGTGTGATGTTGTTTATGAGGTTCTATGCGAAATCCACTCTCGCCATATCTGTGCGTTCAGGAGATATTACGGGGAATCAGAACCATTTCGTATAACCATAGCATCGTTCCGGTTTCTGTCCGCAGCCGCTGCGATGTCATCGTCGCTTGTTGAGGACTATGAACGGACTCAGAAAGGTGGCACTAAAGCATGGGAGGAAACTTTTCTGGCAAGTGGTAAACAAACTATGTTATTATGTGAAATGCAACCACAGTCATACTAAGATATTTGCTCAACTTCAGCTTAGCTGGGTCCATTGCTAATTAAGGCTCCCCAGATCAATCTCGTTGACGGGTGATTGCTGATGGCACTGGTAGGTGGAAAACTAGATGAGAGAAAGGCGAAACAAAGAACCCGTGTGATATGGTGGTGAACGAGTTAGCCACCCGGTAGGAGAACAGCGTGTTCGTTTCCCACCGAAGACACCTGTGGTCTAGAATTTTGCAAATATCTCAGCATCATTGTGGTTGTTTCCGTTGTTTTAATACTAACAATCCTGTATTGCAGAGAATGCATATCAATTCGTATAAAGAAGTGGAAAATCGGGGACTCACGACGAAGGTTGCAAAAAGTATTTTGAATACGGAACGTAACAGATACATTGATGTGCTCCCATGTATGTTCTTCTCCTAGTTCAAATTCAAGAATTGGTTTAGTTAGAAGTTCAAATCGCTCCAAGTTTAGTTGATCAGTGTCGAATTGTGCTTGGTTCTAACGCGAACGGTCAGGATTCGTACATCAATGCTTCACCGGTTTCTATTAGACGAGCACATAGAAACTACATACTCGCACAGGTACGTATGATGATGTTTTCCAATGTTTTACTTTAGTTCCCTTCTACCATCGTTCTGCCTCAAGTGTTATAGGGACCACTAGAGAACACTTGCAATGATTTTTGGCAGATGGTATGGGAACAAAAGGTACCAGCAGTGATCATGCTTAACAGAATCGTGGAAAACGGTCGCGATAAGTAAGTAATTGTGAAATGGTTTGTACTGGTTTTAAAACGTACTAACGGAATGGTTTTCTCTATTTATACGGTTTTCGTGTTGATTTTCCTAAGCTACTCGTTCTTTACGTAATGTCTTTGCTATGCATACAGCAATGGTTTGATTCCTTTAGATGTGCCACCTACTTTCCATTAGAAACTGGACATAAGGTCGAGTTCAACGACTTCGCCGTTGAATTAGAAAAAGAGGAGCAGCATCAGAACTTTGTTGTGAGAAAACTCCTCCTGAAAAAGATTAGCGAGGAAGACGGTTAGTATTGGAGTGTTTTTCGCATTTTCTAAATTTTTCTAATGTCGATTCTTTCTATTATTATTTTCATCTTTCAGCTTCTGGACGAGCAGTCCTACACGTGCAATACACGGAATGGCCGGATTTTGGTGTTCCTGCGTCGACTAGATGTTTTCTCAATATGCTTAACTTTATTAAAGGTATATTTCAATTACTTTTTGGTATTCGGACTAACTAATTGTTCATATACTTTATATAAAAAACAGCTGAACACTTGCAACTTTTTCATAGCATAAATTTTCTGTTCGGTTAATGTAGTGTGGACTGTGATGCACATTCCATTGAATTACATAATAGTGTGCTAGTAAGCTCCATAATACCATAGTTAAATTGATTTTACATTTGTTTCACTTTTGTGTTTGCCGTTTCTGAAGAAAATATACCTAAAAGTTAGAGCCCGACGCCCAGTTTTTCGTTGCACGCATTATGATTTGAAACCAACTCATACTGGTTAAAGTCTTGAAGTAAAGTTTTTGTAGCAAAATGGTTCGTGTTGGACAAAATCTGTGGGATGTGCAAAGACAGGAAAGAAACCCCTCTGTTGCTAAATAAAATACCGCCAATAAAGCGACTTGATATCGATTCAGGCTGGGTGCTCTATCCATCAAATATAAGTGGAATCACTCATTTCGGGGTCTTAGTGTTAATGTGCACCTAACGGGTTAGGTTGAACATTTGTACATGTTATTTTATCGCAGATCAGAATGTGCTCAGTACGTTTGATGGCGAGCCACCTTGTGTCGTACACTGTTCCGCCGGCATCGGGCGATCAGGGACGTTTATCATTGTGGACGGAGTTTTACGCATGGTTTATTTCTTTATAAATTTCATTGCTATTTTGTTACTGCTAAAATATAGTGGATATACTTCTGCAGTGTAGTTTCGTTTCTGCTTAAAATCCATGAGTTCTTACGGCCACATTTTAGATTGAACTCGGCATACCTGACTCCGAAATTTCTCTCAATGATCTGCTTGTGGATCTCAGATGGTAAGATGAATCTTCTGGTTAGCCTACTAATACGTATACCATCGAAATTTGTTTTTCTTTCAGTCAACGTTTTGGGTTGATTCAAACACCGCAACAGCTTATGTTCAGTTGGCATGCCATTATTGATGCTCTCCAACAACGGAATGTAAGGGTTGGAACAAAGTTGTTAAACAAGACTTCTACCTATAAATTTTAATAAAGTGCGAAAAAATATGCTTCTAGTACATTAACTTCGCGTATCACCTCTGCAATATGTTTTCGCAGGTTTCGCATAAATTCCCCTCAAATTCTGCCATCAATGGAGCCGATTTGGACGCGAATGCGTCTGAAGATAAACCTTCGTCGATTGACAGAAAAGGTAAACGAAAAACTGACGAGAAGGAAGAGGACTGTGTTGATGACCGCTTGGCAAAGAGGTGGGTAAGGTACACATTTTATGTATTTCGAACCATTTCTGGGAAATTTTTTTACACCTATGAAAAAGAGAACATGTTTATAAAAAAGCTAGTTGCATGCCTTTCATTACATTACAAATCTTTTTTCTTTTATTTTTGGATAAGAATAGGAAATGCTTTCGAAGAACTATGTGTAAACCATTGATTATGTATTTATGTTGGGGTGCCGGCTTTGTTGTCAGAAGAAATCTCGGTGATACCTGCTCTTCGTGTATTCTGCAAGCTTCTAAACTATAGTTGTTTGTCCCTACTTTTTATTTACTGTTTGTTCTTTTTTAATGACAGGGTATTATGTCAAATATAACCATAATGATGCTAAGATATTTGCAAAACTCCGAACCGTTGGTGTCTGGGGTAGGGACCGAACACGCTATTACCCTTTCCGAGCGCTAATGCATTAACCACCACACCATGCGATTCCTTCGTTTCACCTTTCTCTTAGCTGTGTTATTGACCTATAGGTACTGTCAGCAATCACTCAACGGGATGGATCTGAGGAGCACAAATCGGCATGGAATCCAGTTAAGCTGAAGCTGTGGTATAAGTCACGATGTCCGGAGTTTTGCAAATATTTCGGGATCATTATGACTATATTGTTGTTTTTATTGTGTAAATCAAAGAATTTAATTGAAATGTGTCCTTTTTTGCCCCTGAGTTCTTCGTCAATCATGCGTCACTACTCCGTAGAAACTGAGGGTTTACTTTTCTCTGCGTGTATATGAGTGTTTTCCATGTTGTCTTCAACACATTCGTAACCACATTTTCTTGTTGTTGGCTGCGATGTGGAACAAAGCTTAACGTTTATCATCGCACAGTACCATTCACAAGTGGCTGCGTACTTTTGGACCGTTGCACTCACAATAACTGCTTTCCCTTTTCCGTGTTTTTCTCTGTAGTTTCATTCCTTGTACGTTCTTCAGTAGTTTCTACTTCTATTTCTACAATATATTCTCTCTGTTTTTCCTTATGTTTTTCAGTATGCTGTGAAACATTCTCTTCTCTTGTTCCTTGGTCAGAAAACGTGCCCATGATCAAGTTATTTTTGTTGGTTCCTACCAATGTTACATAACATGTGTAGGAATTATTTTGGTATTTTCCATATCCGCGCATTCCATAACTATTCATTGAAGAGGTGATATGGGAAATACGATCAATTGCTGATCGACTAAAAAATTGATTTTACAAGTTTGATTCATTTTGGCGGATTAGTATTGGTTTAATTTTCGGCTGACTCAACACCGAGCATTAAAAGGAAGGAGCTGAAGAAGCCGAGGGTTATGAGGAGGACATTGTTCTCCTCTTCGAAGATTGAAGAAAAAGGATGGAAGGTTCAAGACAAAAGTGATGAAGATTATGTTAGCCATGAGTGACCACATATCGTGATACCCCACGTTTCCTGGATGTTCCGTGACACTCACTTTTGACTGAATTCGGATGTCTGTGCTTGGAGTGGAGGCAGGTACACGTTTAAAAAATATTTGTAGCTTTCGCGATGGAATTGTGAAGGAGAAACACAGATGCGATCAAGGACCTGTTACGAAAGCAAAGCTCTGACTAGGTGAAAATATTAATTGGTGCCTGCCTTCGGATGTGAATTTACTAGACGCCTAACGTAGGTCCGTTATTGGAGCTCCTGTTCTATTTTTTGTGTACGATGCTGTTAGGTCCAGTTTAATGACAAGGACGTGTTTGAAAAGTTGTTGATTTACCTACATTTAAAGGACATTGCAACCTGTAACAGAACATGTGCAAAAAAGAACTATGGTTGCACTTGATGTCGACCAGAGTAGAGGTCACCTCTGGATTGGAGGCACGGCTGAGTTAGCCGTGTTGAAGCTTAGACGAGATTTACTTGACGGATGCACCCTCATAGTGTACCCATAAAAGGTACCGATAACAGTGTATCGTCCAGTGAAGGTTTTTTCGGAAGACTCATTTCATAGTTACTTGAAAAAAACCATTTAAAGATGCAGGAGCTGCATCCGACAGAAACTGGTAAATGGGCTACTGATGGCGTAACGGAGCTCTGTGATGATGGTTTGATAGAAATGTAGAGATATTGGTGTGCACACCGCATGCTTTAGAAGTCGCAAATTGTGAAGATTTTATACTGCAAATTTTTTGAGTACGATGTTTAGTGTCGTTGGAAAGTGCGAGAACAAAGGCTAAGAGTTGTAACGCTTCTAACCATACACTGTAGAAAAACAATGATGAACGCGCACTCAACACCTAGTCGTAGGTGCTGCAAACGCATCTATAAACACGTTGTCTACTACCACTCCGGTCCAACACTCCTTAAAGAGAACATGTCAGTCACTGCAAAAGTATCACAGAGAAGTTGGCAAAAGAAACAACCGAAAAGTGGTGTGCGACTCGTGCATTCCGTTGTGCCTCACCAGTGAAAGAGTTATCTGTAACTCATACCGTCGTAAGTGCTTCTAATATTACAGATGAATGAATTAGTATTTACTTAATATATCTCTAGTAACGGGTTAGGACAAGTTTAAATGCAAATTTTTAGTCAGTATAAGACTGAAGAGGATATTGTTGACGGTGCAGTTTCCATGAATTGCATTGTTACTTGTTTCTTCCTTATTCTGGTGCTCCTTTGAAGAGTTAATTGGTTTCGGAAGTGACTTTTTTGCAAGCTTTTTGTAGTGCTTTACACCAAAATGTGTGAATTCCAGGCTTTTTAGCTGTGGATATTTATCATCCCAATGTTCATAATCCGTTGGAAACCCCGTGCCCCAGAGTCACCAAGCCTTCCATCCGTTAGCAAATTGGTAGCAAACTTATTTGGGAGGACAGCAGCACTGGCTGGACACATCGTTAGAGCAACGCGAGTCACCATAAAGGCGAGATAAGCATTTAGTCACCGCCAACGATGCTCGATGACGCCTAAGGCATGGCCATTTCACAGGAATTGATCAACACCGAGAGCCTTTTCCTTTTTATGGGCATAATAGTCGTATGTTTGCTGTGGGATAGTATTCCTCACGATCTTTGTCTGAATGCTGTGCTTGTTGAGTCCACCTGGCTAATATGGCGTTGATTTTTTTATTAACTTTTTATGCACTATTTTTGAGCAACTTTTTTTTCGTTGCGTTGGTACAAGAGGATATTAGCTAAAACTCCAAATGCGTAGCTTATTGTTTGGATAGGTTTTTTAGTCATATTAAAATGAGACATGGAGCTCGTTGTGAAACAAGTTGCTCCTTAACCTAACTCAAGACCGTCTTTACATTCGTATTGTCTGCTTGTTTGTTTGTTCGTATCTTTATCGAAGTAATGTACGTATGTGTGTGCGCATATACTCATGTGTATAGTGTTTGTAATCGTATGTGTATCTCTTTCGTTCCTACTTCTTCCAGACAATTATCACTTTTACTGTTTTATTCGCTGATCCATGTTAGCGAGTCAAAAGATGGAGGGTAATGTACTTGGATAGCGATGTTTTAAGGCGTTGTGCGCAGAAAGACGGTTTGAAGTGATGTGATTCAGACGTGAAATGGTGGCTCGTATGGTGGCTCGTAGCCGTGAATCGGAAGCCGTGCGTCGAGGTGTTCTAGGAAATCTCTCTAACCAACTGGGAATCAGTCGTAGTTCGTTGTTCGCAGCTAGTGGTGCCCTTATTTTCGCAGTAGTAGTCGGCTATTACGTTTATAAACGATGATGTATTTATATCTTGTATTTGAATCAAAGTGGCTACGTTTTGCTGCTTTTTTTTACCACAGTGAGTTTTTTCTTACTACAAACAAAACTATTGCAATAATTTCCTATTAGTGGTGTATCTGAAGTGAACGGCAGTTATGGTAAACCTGGAGTGATTGGTTGTAAATTGCATTTGATTGTTAGGTTGTTAAGCTTTTCCGTTTAGTCGCTTCTACTGTTGAACTGATACCATGTGTATCTTCCTCTTCCTTGTAGGATTATTATTCGCTGTTTTCGATATGCTAATGTTTTATCTCATCTTCTCTCATTTCAATTGGATTATTCCTACTGCTGTCCGCTTTATTTCCTTGTTTTACTCGTTGTTCTGTTAATCTCAGCTCTTTACTACCATTCCTTTTATTTGATGGAATTAGTTTTTATTTGGCGATGGTAATGCCCACTTATTTCCCATTGCTCAATTATTCTTCTTCTTAAAACATGTATCCACTTTAACGTATTGTCACTTAGGACGTGATGACCATGTTAATAGGGCCTTATGTTCTTTACTCGTGATCACTCATTAAATTTTTTTTGGTACTTTTTTCATGCTATTGCGGTGAGCATTTATTTACCTAGTTATCAGTAGTAAATTTTTATTTCTTGTTCTAATATCTCTACCTCATGTTACGTCTCCACGCATTTCTACTTTTCTTTTCTATGTAATTTTATCCCTGAGCTCTTAAACAATCTATGTATCCTTTGCAGTTTTCATGTTTGGTTCAAGCTCCTCTTTTGGAGCGAAGCCGTCGATTTTCGGTAGTACACCGACAAGCGCCACATCGGCCACATCAAACGTCGAAGATATTGCTGTTGGAAACTTTTAAGCTCATTTGAAAGTTGGTTGTTCTCACATAAGTATTTACAGGTTGATGGTTCACCGGATGATACTGTACAGGTTTTGCGGTTCAGTCCCAATACGAACGAAAAACCGTTGTTAGCGGCAGGAAGTTGGGATGGCGTGAGTATGATGAGCTTTCGGTTTCCACTTATGTGTTTGTGCTAATTTTTTGAAAACAGTGGTTCTTTATACCAACTTTTGTTGTGGGTTACATCAGGTATCAGTTGCAATTTCGAGATAATTATTTATTTTTTATCCATTCCCGAAGTGTATTCGAAATTCTGAATTTCTATGAAACACTGCGCGACAAGTGATTCAGGTACAGAAGGTTTCCACTGAGAAGTATAATCTGAAGAATCTAGAGAGGTAGTACTAAGAGTACACATGAAACGCGTATCAAGGGCGCGTGTAGCGCAGTGGTTGAAGGTGCCTTACAAACATAAGGGGTCATAAGCTGGTCTATCCAACGATCCGGGCTCTTCAATCGTACCACCTCCCCCCCTCTAGGTCGGCATACTAGTTCCAGAGATGTCTGACAGACTAATAATATTGATTTGATGCATCGGAAGAGTGCCACAAGTCATTGTGTATACATGGTGATTGTGTAATGAATAACTCATCTTCCATGGATTTGTCGAAGCGGAGAGCTTTATCTCTTATTTTGATTCATGAAATATATAGTGATTTTTGAGAAGTTGGGTGACAATTGGAGATTTGTTGTGAAGTATTTCGAAAAAAGAAGTGTCTTCAGCTAGAAGGTTTAAATTGATATATCAAGAAAAATTCTGCAACAGCCGGCTATTTGATTGTCGACAATATTAGGTTTTACGAATGGCTAATCAGAAGTAAAATCACATTCTTTTTGCGCATAACATGGAAGATTATTATTTTACCTACTATAGACACCGAAATGAAAACTAGCAATTTCAGTCCAACCACCGTTCACATGAAATACGCGCTCGTTTGCATTACAGAAAAAGTAGGTGGTTTTTAGGCTATTTTTCTATGCTCGTTAAACTGAGTGCTTTAGAATGTATTTGCGCTATTAAGCTTTTTGAATTAACACAATCTTATCAGAGCATGGTTGCGAAGCCAAAAAAAATACCTTTGGTATCGGGATGGTAGTTGAAGAATCCGAAAAGAAAACTGGAAATAGATTGCCATAGAGACACTGCCAGAGGGAACTTTTGAGGTTTATTATATTATTATTAGGTTGACCCATAAGTAGTGACTTTGAGCAGCAACTTTGCAGCGTAATAATTCGACACAAATACAACTTGAGAATCAATCGAATTTACTCTTTTTTAGTAACAAAAACGAGTGTCAGACTTCATCATGGCAATCTAGCTGGCATTCGTTAAATTCGTTCGCTATTCATTTTGGGAGCTTTTTTTATACCTTTGAAATCGAGACGAAGAATTGTAAGCCTGGGTAATAATACTGATTTCTTCTGCTACTCTCTGAATATTTTCTAGAGGCTGAGTTTCGACTATCCCTTCCGAAAGTCATCGACTACCAAATACCCACGATCTTCTTCCTCAGGAAAACCTCTATCCCTCATGCGAAGATTTTCGAATCGTCTACGCACTGTGCGCTCTTCAACGCTTTCTCGACCCCTTGCTGCTACGAGATTTCGAATTGCTACAGTTGCTGAACTTTGAATTCATGAAGCAAAGCAATGCGAATTTAAAATTAATTAATTAAATTAATTAAATTTAATTTAAGAATTCCCAAATAGGAGAATTCAATAACGGTAAGTACATTGAGACGAGTACAATACGAAAAGGTTTCAGATCTTATAAAAAACAAATGCGACTATGGTTCTATTTCTAAGTAGGCAAAGAAGAATATATTTTCGGAATTTTGGTTTTTGTACATACCATCCTAGCAGGGGCGCGTGTAGCGCAATGGTCGGAGGCGCCCTGCAATATACATACTAGATTGGATTCTATTAAGAGAGCATATCTTCTGTCTGAATCATTAAGTAAATATTTTTGACCAATGGAAGGAGAGACTGGGCAGATATAGAGAAACAGTTGTAGTCACACTTGAAAGTCACGAAAATCAACACTGTTTATGGAAATGACAGTATATTGCATCCTACGGCATGTAGACATTCTGAGTAGTTACAACTGTCACGAAAGAACACAGTGGTGCTTATTGTGATTGGAAACGTATGATTCTTAAAGATGGACAGTTTAATACCCATGTAGGAACAATTGTTTCATGGTCATTCAAGTGTCCGTTTATGTACTAGATTATCTCGTCAGCAGACCAGACAGTCATCATAACCCCATCGAAAAATCCGTTCTTCAGTTACGTGCAAGAAGCGGAGATCAGGCTATAGCGATCTTGCTGTTCTTAGTTAATTTCATATGGAACTCATTTTTCACGTTTCCACGAATGTGAAAGCAACCTACTGAATAATTTCTAGAAGGTCACCTTCGATCAACGTTTTCAGACAGTTGCTTCCAGTAGTTATCGTCGACCTTCTTTATCGTGGGAAATTATATCTATGGTGAGGAACTTTTCGAATCATCCGCACACTTTGCATTCGGAAGCGATTGAGTGGCTCCATGCTGCGATGACATCTCGAGATGTCTGCGAAGCAGTACGGGGCGTGTAGTGCGATTCATTCTATACGTTAAATGCTGGTCGCATCCGCAGGCGATACGGCAAACGCTTTATCCCTTTTTATTTGTTTTTTTTTTAAATCTGGAGTGCTACGACCAAGTTTAACTGATAAAGCAATACAATGCAATCCGCACATTTTCTGCGCATTAAGTTGACCAGCATAACTCGTTTTAAATTAAGTGTTAGGAAAAATGTTAGCTGGCGAATGGTTAAGGAAGAGGTAGGGTTTAAAAATGGCATATATTAGGAACGTATGCACCATTTCTGCATTATATAATTTATATGCAATCCCATTAGCGACAGGTATGGGACATGTTTTCAAACCACTTTTTTGGTTATTTACAAAATGAGGTGAACGAGCAAGCATTGCCAATTATTACATCTGGAGAAAGTTTGTGGAAATTTTAAGTTTTTTAAATGAAAGAAAATGAAAATGCTATATTTTCTTAGATCCCAAGAAATTCTAGACAATCTCTTTTTTTCAAGATAAGGCGATAATGGTAGATAATGGACCCGGATGGTGTAGTGGTGAAGTGCGCTGCTCCCCGGTAAGGACAACAGCGCGTGTTCGTTCTCCACTGCATACACCCGTGGTCCGGAGTTTTGCAAATATCTCAGCATTTCATACGAGTTATAATTCGAAACATAACCTGCCATTAAGAAGAAAAAGGCAGTAAATAAAAGAGTTAAGGGGATAATATTGAAATACGATAGCTTATTGGAATATGTGCAGAATCTGTTCAGATTGTACGGGTATGGATGGTAAATGATAATGGACAGTGCGAAGGCAAAGCCCAGCAGAATATCCCAGCTCCAATTCTTGATCTTTCGTGGACAGACGTAAGCTTTGATTATCCGCATTCTTTTATATGTTTAATTCAGTTTTCCGAATAATTTGCCCTCATGGATGTTGATTTCTGTTCCGGTTCAATAACATGATACCGCCTTATAGATTAATTATTATCTTAATAGTTGAATAACCATATCGTTTTTTTTGCACTCTATAGTTGGTAATACGATATATGCTTTATTTTTAGGATGGGACGAAAATTTTCATATCAACAGGTGACAAGGAAGTTCGATTGTGGGATCTCGCTTCCAATCAGGTTGCAGTAGTTGGAACGCACGATGCACCCGTGAAAACTTGCCATTGGATAAAAGGTTTTTTCTTATGTAGTTTGCCAACTAAGGTGTTCTCCGCATGGCCTTTATCCACTAGGAATTATGTTATGGCAGTATGCATAGAAAGATCTAAAACTAGCTCCCAGGATCGACTTTATATTAAACTTGACATTGGATTATAAATGCGTCGTTTGCTTGTTCAGTAATCGCTAAGTTGTTGTACAGCATGCATTTATTTACAACAGCAGCTCGCGTTTCGACAGTATCGCCTTCTTCAGAGCTGTTTTTATGTGCCTTCCACTGAGTAAGAAAAGAACAGCTGATTATAGTCAAATCATCAGAGCCATCAACCATATGTGGTAGGCACGTAAAAAACGGCTCTGAAGAAGGCGATACTGTCGAAACGTAAGCTGCTGTTGTATTGTGTGTTTTTATATGGGAGTAAGTGTATGCTGTGTAGCAACCTCACGATTACTGAAAAAGAAAACGACGCATATAAAATTAGCATAAACATAAACTCAGTACTTTATTTGTTTGTGTGTTTTCACTACCATATTTTTATCAATGCATTGAGACTACTATGTTTCATCTTCTTAATGTTGTTTACATCATGTCTGATGCTTTTTATAACCTACGTTTCGGTTTAATTTTGTGAATCAAGGTAGAACGGATCTCTTTATCTGTAATATTGGTAAACATTACATATTCTGTTGTCAACTGAACCGAGATTTTGTTTTTGTAATTTTGTCATTTTTCACAGGTTTCGCTTTAGGAAATAACTACTCTTGTTTGATGACTGGGTCATGGGACAAAACGCTGAGGTTTTGGGATATGCGGCAACTTCCAACACAATCGTCTTTAGCAAATATAACAGTATGTTTTCATTCCTGTTGAACTTACTTCATTTTTGATAGACGCAACACGCACAACACGCACATAAACGTTGGAGGCGATTAAAAAACACACTTTGTGATCGAAATCCTATTTTATAGTTTCTTAAACGTGTTACTGCTTTTGGGGTTTAGTTAGAGGCGTCATGCAATAGGCACATGATAGCTGGTCCGACCACGAGCCTGGAGAGGACCATGACCTCCACCCTTTAGGGGGCTGACAAGTTCCTAATAAGCTTATCTGGAAGGACAAAAACTGTGACTTGATGCATACACAAGCCAACTATGCATTCACTCACTTCCGTGGTGCTTAATAAAGTCCAGTTAAGTGCACGGAGCTTCATTAAGGGATTGGTCAAAGATCGATCGTCAACACTTTTTTTCAAGGAATCAGGTGTTAGATAGCGTACTATATTGACAACCGTGGGACCTACAGGTGGCTTGGATGTGCACTGACATGTCGAACATCCACAACAATCGGTAGCTCGGACCCTTTTCTGGGGCATGTTACAAACCATTGACTCATGAATCATACATGTTAGTGTGAACATTTAGTCTGGCCAATAAGTCTTGTTATATCATTCACATAGGGGAATTCGATTTATGACTGAATTTTTGTCATTTTTGTACTTTTAATAAGTTCCACAACTTTTATGATTATTCAGCAGTAGAGCCCTACCAATGCTGTAGTTATCATGAGCCAAGAATTGATCACTTACAGTGTTTTTTGAAACATCCAATGAAAAAGGGCTTGTGGCATTGACTGCAGGGAATTATGAGAAGGATATCGTTTATATAGAAGTGTGGTACGAAATGTGCGAAATCTTTGACACATCGCAGATTTATAGCCAATTGTGTTGAACACATAGAAAAATGCCCGATACTAGTATTTCCCCTTCTGTTTGCAACCGTATTTTGATGACTTCAATTATTCTGGACACTGGATGAACGCTTTTTCTCTACTTCAACATAACTTCGATATCATTGTGGTATCAGGCGCAGCACTGTTCACGATTCTTACACGCCAGCATCACGAAAGCCGAGGTTTGTGTCATTCTCATCCGGGACGTGAAGTAGTGCTAAGCCTTTGTCATAAATTATGGCCTGATGTGTTTTTAGACGAAAACTATTTTGATTACTCAGGTACACTATAATATTAAGCCTATCCGAAGTTGATGTCCGATTTACGATTTTGTTTTTTCTGCATATGTTTTAGCTGTTCTTTTTCAGTTCTGTATTGTCGTCTGTTATTGCGAAGCTCATTTCATTCATTTTCGTTTCATGTAATTGAAATATAGTATAAGTACATTCTTGACAAATTTCGAAAGTTAGAATTTCAGATATCAAAGCAGAAATCTCGACAGATCTTCTTGTACGAATCCAAACTTGGACGCCTGCAGTACAAACAGATCTAAACATTAACCGAGTATAGCACCAAAGAAGGTTTATCAAACGTACAGTGCAGCATTGGTTTAGAAAATTTCGTTGTGGCAAATTCGAGTTTCAAGATAATAGAGGTCGCGGACGTCCTGCTATAGATGATGCGAAATTAAATATGTTCCTGCACCCAAATACACGCACTTCTCTTCAAGCACTTGCAGAGGAACTCGGCGTATTTCACTCTTTCTGGGAGATTTAAACGAGTTGGAAAGCCCAAGAGATTCGAGAAATGGATTCCAGCACGAATTGAACTAAGATTTAAAAAGTCACCGGTTTGAGATCGTGGGCGCTTCTTCTGCGTAGTGAGGGCGACTCCTTTCTTTACCGTCTTTTGACGTGCGACGAAAAATGGGTTCTCTGCGTTAACCAAAGACTGTCGGGTACGGTGGGAGAAGTCCGTCCAAGAAGTCGACAGAATCGACGAGAAACCGCAGCGGTTGTGCCCGCAGCGTTCGACAGAAAGAGACCAATCTTGCACGATAACGCGTTGCGACGTTGCGACGCAGCATAGAACCGATGCTGCAAAAGTTGAACGAGCTAGTTTACGAAACTTTCTCATCCATCATACTGGCCAGGCCTTTCTTCTGCTCACTTCCATTTCTTCAAGTATCTCGACAAATTTCCTGTTCGAGACATGCTTTAGAAACTAAGCAAAGTTCAAAACTGCCTTCAGTGACTAGATAGCCTCCAAAAGTTAAGAATTGCTTGCAGCTGCTATAGACTAATTTATTTCTCATTCTCAAAATGTGCAGATTTCAAATGTATTTACTTGGTTTAATAAAGTTTATTCTGAGCTGAGATATGCCACTTTGAAAATACGATTTTAAATCGGACATCAATTTCGAAAGGCCTTATTTAACAAAATGACGTCATCACCGTCAACCGTCATCACGAACATGGCATTAGTTTGCTTCCGCTCCGGGCCAATCAAGTTTCTCATCCCTCCGGGGTCGGGAAATTGGTACCGGACTTGTCTGGGAAGAAAAACACTCTCCGCAATTTAATTGGGAGCGTTCCAGCCCAGCTATCTCAGGACTTCAAGGAGAATTGTTCGACTAGCATTCTACGACATTCAAAATGAAATGGAAGTCCTCAAGCAGCAACCGAAGCCACACGTGAAAGTTGGAAGATCTTCGTGGACAATGATTGCGTGGAAACGAATCGCATAGGAGAAGTGCTGGAAACCACATAGTAGACGTGAAGACGGATCAAATGAAAAAAGTATTTAACAGAATATTGCTAATAGATATGCTTGAAAGGTGAGAGCAGTAAATAGTCACTGAGGAAGGATGAGAACGTGGATCTTTTGATCTTTTTCAACTCCTGAGGGATGCATTCGACTTCATTACGGATTGTTAGAGGTGAATGAATGCATATCTAACCAACACAATGACTTGCAGTGGCCTATTGATGTATTAAATGTACGGTATGGTCCTGCGAAAGATGTCCAGTACCAATTTATCAATCTCAGAGGGATGGAAGGCCTAGTGAACCGGGAGCCTATGATCAAAGGAGCGACTAATTCAGTGTATGTTACACCTGCACTGCGCTTCATGCGCTCCTTGCTGAAGTTAAGCTGTGTATTATTGCGAAGAAATATTATTGAAGGTTTATTATATTGTATTAGGTAATTTATTTGTAAAAGAATAAGGGCATAAATTTTGCACAAGTTAGCATGTAAGGTAAAATTTTAGCATGAAAATGTGGAACAAAAACTGCGATTTGGAATGATGTGGAGCGAACGCATATGCGTGAAATCTCATTTAAAAACAAGCAACCGAAATCTTTATAAAAAAAATAGTCGCGATTATTTTATGGGTAAACGAATGAAAAATTTCTATCTGTCATTTTGCGCTGTTATAATGCTCATCAGGTCTTATGCCTTCTTCATTTCTAGTTAAAAGACGGTCAATACTTTCGGTTATCTGACATTCAAAGCCGTTACTTAGCTGTAGAAGATGTGGAAAATATCGCGGTGGTAGGTGGCCATTAGACATGCTGTATCGTCATTGTGAATGAAAAAATCTTATTCATTAGTGACTGATGGAATCATATCCCATGGTTCCATGGGTTAAAAGAAAGCTCTCGGCGTTGATGTATCCTTGAGGTATTCGCCATTCATTCGACTTCATTATGCATGTCCGGGTTTGGTTGCCAATTGAGGAATTTATCTTCATGGATGTCTTAGAATGCTGCTCGAATTGACGCTCCCTGAAATCACAGGATAACCCGTATTAGAATCTCCCTAGGTCTTTGCCGTAAACAGTGACTGGAGTTCATGTATTAAAGGAAACTTTCCCCAGGAATGTCTGGCACCATTTTATCGACTATAGAGGGATTGAAGGCTTAGTTTTCTCGCACGGCATCAACCAGCGCTCCAAAGTTTTTAAAAAACTTTCTTAAGGACCTTATACACCGCATGCTAATTTTGCGTTCAAAATTGGTGCTTATCTTCAAAACGAGTTATTGCATAAGCATACTTGACACTCAGTACAGTATTCTGAAATCAGGGTACATTCGTTTATGGTTGAAAAATCTTGTAACGAGCAGCTGTATACTCTGTAATCCCATTAGCCAATGAATAATTCAGCCGGGCGCTCTTATTTCGCTCCTTTCGCGTAGCTGAGCTGCCCAGTGAGCTCTGCTCACTTAGACAAGTGATGTGTATCGTTTTATTCTTATGCCAGTTTTTGTTTGTAGCACTTTTAGTGAAAGGGTGTCCAAGGATACGTCTCCAGAACCTACCTTTGATTACCTTGAGTTGCGTTGGTCTTACTTGTTTTAGGCGAATCGGAATCTGTGACTTCCGTACCAGTTCAGTGATAACTAGAAGAATTATGTCTACTAAGGTATAACAATTAGATTAACCGCCGTGTGTAGATCCACATGCGCGTTGAGGATCCGTCTTTTTCACTCCTTATGGGATGTTAAATGCGAATCGGAGGTGGTTTGCCGTAAGTCACATTCTAGGGTGTTGCAAGATATTTGCAACGAGTGGTCGGTCGACCTTCTGGGTTGAGGTTTTACGCATCCTAAGGCATTTTCATGACATCGCAATTCCTGCAATTAATAGACCGTCCGATGATGACCACATGCTAGATACCTTAATGGAGTGCTATATTGGGAAAAATTAGATCAAAATTAATAAGCGAACTATGAGCACAAGTGTCATATATTTCTACTAGCACAGATCACATGGCTGCTGTCTGCAAATAATAGCGTTGAATTGGTTAACAGTTTTTGTATGTGGCAGTTTCGCTCTTTCCGCCCATCTTAATTAAAGTCTTATCGTGTAATAGTTCCCAGGATCGACTTTCTCTTAACCTCGGCATTGGAATATGAATGTGTCGTTTTCTTGTTCAGCAATCGCGAGTTTTTTAAACAGCATACATTTACTTCCATAAAAAACAATACAATACAACGCTAGCTGACGTTTCGGCAGTATCGCCTTCTTCAGAGCCGCTTTTTTCGTGACTTCCAATGGGGAAGTTTAGAACAGCTGATTATAGTCGCATGTGGTTGACGACTGCACCATCCCCTGTTTAAAAACCTCGCGATTGCTGAACAAGAAAACGACACATTCATAAAGTCTTATCATTTCAGCAGTCTCCATGACTTTTATTGTTGACTTCTCAGTTTTGCTCTCATTTCATACAATGGATTTTTGAGCAAAACCTTTAAAATTGTTGGAAACTAACAGCATGGTTTGTGGTATCTGTCAACTGCAATTGTTATTATTTTTCTGTATATAACTGTGCTATATTTGGTGTTCGTGATTTGTTGCTCCGCGTAAACAGCTCATTTTTTTTTCTCATAAGTCTCTCATAATAACGTATTTTCAGCTTCCAGAGCGAGTATACTGCGCTGACGTTTTATACCCAATGGCAGCAGTGGGTTTGGCAAACCGTCATATCAAAGTGTACAATTTAGAGAATGGTCCTCAAGAAGTAAAAGATATTGAGAGCCAGCTTAAATTTCAGGTAAGTGACCTGGCTTTAACACAGTTTGGTCGTCTTTGTTCAACTCCAATTTTTCATGCCGTCCGTCTGCTTGAAAATTTTCTTCGAATCAAATTATGGCAGTTGGTTCGTAAACTAGACTAATAGTGCATCAATTGTGTGGTTCATTGTTATCTATAATCAGTTATTTTTTTCTTGTAGATTCTATTTTATATCTTCGGTAATTCTTGTGAAGAATAATTCACGTATTCAACCCACTGGTGGTGTGATCGTAAAGTGTTATTACAATTTATGATTGGTTTCTATATCTTGGCATACTTTCAGCATAGATGTGTTTCGATTTTCAAAGATAAAACGAACTCAATGCCATGTGGTTTTGCTGTAGGATCAATAGAGGGTGAGCATCTTTTTTTTCTTTTGTGATGACCGTGGTGAATAGTGAGGTTTTCGCTTCGTCTAATCCTACTGGTGACTACGGGTTAGAATTTTCTGCAATGCACGGTATTGTGCTGAAAAATTTTCCAAAATCGCTACAGTTGTTGGCCATAGCTTCCTTCTAATATGCATTTAAATTTCATCTCCATAATTATTTAGAGATGATGGTTCCACAATATTTTTCACTCATAATGGTAATTATGTAGGCTATACATACGTATTAGCCATTAATGCAATAACATGTGTATGAGGACGATTTAGAATTTGGTTTTTTAGTTGCAGAAACATTCATAGGAATGAAAAGTGAAGTCAGTTGATCTAACGATGTTAAGCGATTACTTCACTGGAATCTGATTGTCCGCATGGTCAATATGCTAGTATGATCGACGTCAACTGATTCACAGAAAACAACTTTTCGCCTAACATATGTTAACTTTTGAAATAGTACATAGAGAAAACCACATTTATAACACTGCTACTAACATTATTAATATTGCTAAAGAAGAAGGAGATTCTGTCTTTTGCTTAATCGTAAAAACTGCATGTTCATTTATGAAGAACCTTGTTTATTTCACTTGGATTCAGTTTTTTTTTTTCTTTATAACGATCCGTCACATCTACTGTGCGGTTGCTAGTACTACTCATATTCGATTCGTTCCATTGCATTCATTGTCTACGAAGATCTTCAAACTTTTACGTGTGGCTTAGGCTGCTGTCTGAGGATTTTAATTTCATCTTGAATATCGTAAAATGCTGGTCGAGTGGATTCTAACGGGGGTGCTGGGATAACCTGGCTAGATCGTTCTTAATTGGATTTGAGGCAGTAATTTTTTCCCGAACAAATCCAACACCAACACTGCGACCCCGGAGGTGTCAGAAGCCCATTGAGCGCGGAGCGGTATCGAACCAGCACCGTTGTTGTGAAGATTGGCATCACTACCACTGAGCTACCTGCCGTCTCTTGATTTTATAGTGTTGGAAAAGTGGCGAAGCAATGGAAAGTAGTGTTGGAGGTCTTTTTCGAATAGTACTAACGATATTTACTTGCGATCTTATGAATCGAGCGTATTTTTCGCTTTCGAGTGCGCTCATGGAAAAAGATGGGGCGAAAACTTAAGCAATAATGCGTTTTATTTATCTCTCAGTCCACTATTCTGAATTTCATATCTTGTGTAAAAATGGTGGGATCTACTAAATGCTATGGTGAAGAGTTCCAATCACACTATGTTTATAAAAATTCTCTTTATAGTCAAGTGAAGAAAAAATTCATGTGTTGTATATTGACTGTTCATCACCTTTGATACCGAAATTTCACCAGGGTCGGGCGGTAGAGTGGCAGTGATGTGAGAGCATTGATTTCTTTTTCTAAGCATAACTTAGGAAATACCTCTTTTAGGTCGTTATATACATGTAGAATGGAAGAGTACTGAAAGGGCGAAGAATCCTGAGGGTCCTGTTGTTTTATCAAGAACGAACCAATACAACCTAGAATATTCGATCGACATGGAGGTCCACTTAAACGAGTATCTGTTCAGAAGACAGAAGCATGGCTTCAGATACAAGTAGCCAAGCAGCCGATAACTCCGAATTTCTGCGTCATTCCCAACAACACAACAGTTTCCATGGCTTCGCTATGTGGTTGATATTTGGCCTTAGTCGCCTTGCGAATTTTTTGCACTAGCCAAAAAGCGCTAGGAGGCTGGAAATTGCTGTATAACTGTCTGTATAACCTTTGATAACTGTCACGTTTCCGGATCTGGGACAGTATACATCGAAAACGTCTCACGTGTAAACTATTTATATGATGGAAAACTTGACATATAGGTGAAAAGAAGTGTAGAATGAACTTCAAGAACGTAAACGTTCTCTCTAGCGCGGCTTGCTACATGATAAGCAGACGTGTTAGGTATTCATGTCTACCAAATGTGCTCCTAACCTGATACAATTTACGAATCGCAGAGGGCTGTACTCACTGTAGGTATCATGGTACAAAGTAGAAAGCCTCTATGGACGAAGATCGCCAAGGGAAGACATGACTGAAGAATATTCTGTAACGCTCACGATTTGTAAACATGTGTCATCCAAGTGTTCAAGTAATAAGTACTAGTCGGAAACATAGTTCAAAACCTCACTGCTTTTCTCCAATGCGCAAACACGACATTTGTATTGTAGCATTTACTAGCACACAATAGCTGATGCTTCGGCGTTTTCATCTTCTTCATAGCCTTGAAAGGTTAAATTGAAATGCAATCTATTAAGCCGAACGCTTTCATAACTTAAGGAGATGCGACTTAACACAAATTTTCGTTCGGGTAATAAACAGCTTCTTTTAAACACTTACCGATTATTCATTTAAGTATTCCAGTTAATTAGTGGCGAGGAGCTGCACAGAGTGAACATGGAGGAGAAATGTGCCTGGGTCAGGTCGTAGAAAAAGCCTGAAGTATTGGCGCTAGGTCACGCGTGATCGGGAGGCACTCATCCTGAGGTTTATTCTTGAATTTTTAGAATTAATCAAAACGGCCTCAAGAGTTTTACGCGCTGAAATTTTGAATTCTTGTGCGAGAGTAGTGACTTTCACTTCAAAATCTTCGTTATGTTTTTTTACTCTGTACTCACCTCGTGGACTTTTTGGTTTAGATTTAAATTTAGCGACTAGTTGTTCTCTTAAACGGAAACAAAGAGGTCTATCCGTTTCGCCAACGTATTCGTTCCCACGTGCTTCACAGGAGAAATCCTCGGAAGGTGCGCGACTGCTAACCATTTGGAATAGCTACGATAATACTAGCGTGAATAAGGTCCCGTGTATCCTGCTCTTTTTTCAAACAAAATAAGTGCAGCTATAAAACGTTGCTTATTAAGGGCCGGTATAAATAATTTGGTAACTGATAAAAATACCACCAGACACGCTGAGGCACCAGGTAGTTCGTAACCGTCTGTATGCTGTCTGTGTACAATGAGCCAGACACTAGTCTGTGCAACTGAACTCCACCAAGTAATTGAAATATTTACAACGAATGAAACGCTGGGTATTTAAAAGGAGCTGTTTATTAAGCGAATGAAAATTTATGCTTCAAGTCTTATCTGCTAAGTTTATGAAAGTGTTTGGCTGAGTAGATTGCATGTCATTTGACTTTTCCAGACTCTGAAGAAGTTGAAACTGCCGAGACATGAGTTGTTGTGTGCTAATAAATGCTATAATACCAACCTCATGTTTACTCACTGAAGAAAAGCAGTGAATAATTGATCAATACCGAAGTTGTTAAAAAGTCGGTCTTGGGAATAGTTCAGGACTAATAACCGATTTTTAATCCAAATTATTTGCTTTAATGCCACAAAGTAGCACGTGACAAGGGAAAGGTGCAATAAGCATTGGATGGTTTTTTTTCGACAACATCTTAAAATGCTATTTTGTTCAACAATGTGGAAGGGTCATGTTTAAGCATGCTTGAGAACGAGGTTTTAACCGTAACTTCAGAACCGCTATTATGCCGTAGACGATCCGTTATGGTAAAAACTGAAAAATTTTGTATTTTTAAACCTGGTGGAAATCTTAAGTTGTACGGAAACAGTTAAACGTTGGAGGTGTTTTGATTTAGTAACATCCTACTTTCATGAAAATTTGAGTGGTCGGTCTTAACGAGAAGTGCGTGCTTTATCACCATTTGCATCTATATCTTCCTCATGCGATGTTCGTCTATGGTGACGATTTCTACTCTCATTCCATGACCCAAAAGTCGTCTCCTGAGGCAAATGTATTTCAAAACTGCGTGCACACCTGTCCACCCTATAAGTTGCGATCCTACCTGTTAGAGCCATTACACTGTTCTCCTAGTCCATCCATCGTCACTTATTACATAGCTGGCTCCTCCAGGTTTCCTCTTCAACGTATCGTTTTCTAGAACAAATTGTTTTCCAGAGATCTGAACTTATCTGGTTTGGTATTATTTATGCCCACCATGTTTTAGGAGACGCTGTTCAAGCCTTTGTGATTGGGGCGTTAAATTTATGACGTTGCCGAATTCTGTATTTCGGCTCCATTACAAGGCCTTGTAACTGTTAAGTGGAAAATGCAAGCGCGGAATGTTAGATGAAACAGCTGATCAATGTCTTCTCTGAGAGGCGTGAAAGCGGTCTCCTTCATCTGCTCAGTTCCTCCTTAATGTGGTTTTCCAAATTAATGAAATACTCTAAGTATTGGTAGAACGTTATTCTTGAAATCAAAAGACTACTCGATATGTTTTCCGGAGTATCATGCACATATTCATGACCCAGATTTTCTTCCACCTTATCCTTTTCCTTTCCTTATTCAACTATTTATGCAGTATTTACCGTCGAAATCCATGCAACTTTGTTCTCCATCAAATCACATCAGTGTCCATGTATGCAGTGTATCGACAAATATCCTTCGAAAGTGAGGCTCTGTCACATTAAGATGGAAATGGTAGGTAGCAATGGAAGAGTAGTACTGTCGTGTGCAGTTGCCATAACGATCACATAAACCTACTGCTCTTGAAGAACGGATCCAGTCTTTAGTCGACGAGGTTTGCACATATTTCAACACGGCATGAGGCAAAAACAGTACGTTTTTTTACAGAGATTTCTTCAGTACTGGACACCGTCAAACGTTTTCGGAGTCAGCAGCAGGTTAGGATAAGAGGAAGGTGATATTCTTCGTAAATCTGAGTAGACTTTGGATGTGGTCTGTA